AGACAGATTAGCTTCGGATGACTTAGCGATTCCTGATTGGTGCTGTTCTAACGCTTTCTCTGAGTTTCCACTCAGTCGTTGTCAACGATGGCTGAATTTTTGCACAGGATAGGTCATGTTTCAGATAATTTCTAGCTCATTTTTTGACTTTTCCCTCAATCTATTTAGCATTGCTACAATTCTACTTATGATAAAGAGATCTTCTCTTATGATAAAGAGATCTTCTCTTGCAAGAGTAACAACCAGAGATACGAAACATCACTGTCCTAAGTACTGTTTTTCTAAGAATTTGCCCTTTTTAAATTTTGATTTGCTGCTGTAATGGTAAAAGTCGAGAAATATTGACCAAGAACGGTAATAGGATAGTTCTCATTACGGTTAATAGAGGAAAGAGGATCCTTTCTAATCTCGCACATATGACCCTATTCATAAATAGCATTCTTTATCCTGCGACATTATGCATTGGACGAAAAATACAGCGACCCATCGCGGTAACGATAATCATACCTAAACAAACGAAGTCGTGTGTAGGAGTGGTCAATATAAGCTGATTCCGTAACGACTTGGGCCCTGAGCACCTAGCGATGCCAGACTCGATGTAGTTCTTTTTGATCAGATCCGCGAACCAATGCATCATGCAGTCGCAGTAAAGAGAGTTGCTACCCAAGGCACTAGAAAGATGACGTGTTTAGTATAGTTGCCGTTACCAGCTGGTCTAACGCTTACATGTGCGTCAACGAAGTCAGGTCCTGGAAGGCCAGTTTTGGCAGCGTCGACAGGTCGTTGCCGTGCAGAGACAAAATGCGCAACGACTTGAGGCCATGAAACGCGGTAGCTTCCAGACACTGCAGTTTGTTGTAGCTGAGAATGAGCGTAGACAGTTGACTCAGATTGAAGAACGTGTCGTTTTCCAATACCATTATCTTGTTATTGCTCAGGTCGCTAAACGAAAATCAGTTATGTACGATGAAGAGAAAATGGTGATCTACTTATATTAGATAATTAATTATGCAAATCCATATGAACAAGTAGTCGGTCAAATATATCACCAAAAAATACATGTTTAAATAAAAAGGCAAGCTATCAAACACACGCATTCTTTTACACTAGAAATGTTGTGGTGTCCAAGAAATGTCATTTATTTGAATATCATTCAAAGCACTTTTGGCGCCATGACGGCCACTTTTTTATTTTTGTGTTAAGCGTTAAAATGATCATTGCGTAGCCTGTTTATGACAATTCTGTCTACTTCGCTGAACGGTTATTGCAAGATATCACCTACCCGCTTCACACAGATTTAGTAGCATGCTATTCTTGTAGTTCTTTTACATAAGGAAACTTTACCATCGCAAAAGCGAGAACTAAGATCAGTATTACCCCCACTTAATTCGTATTCTTATGCATCCTGTTGCATTAAAGTGTAGTCTCTTGCTTTGTATAAGAATTCGCTTTCTTCCTATAAGTAATAGTTGTACTGCTGTTGCAAGCTGCATATATGCCAGTACTGAAAACAAAAAGGAGCAACTTCCTGTATAGCATTAATAAATACTGCATTCTGACAGTGAAATACAAGCTAGAAATATGTGGCCATCAACGTCACCTACAGAAAGGAGTGCTCTTTAGCTCTATCGGAAAAAGAACAAAAACGATGAGAACATAATAATTAAATGACAAATGAACATAGAAAAATAAAAAAAGAAGAGAATAAAGATATGAAGCAACAGAGGAAGAATAAAAACAACGAAAGGCATAACAACAGAAATAATTAACGATAAGAAAACTAAGAAAAGAAATTTATTTGGGTGAGGAACAGATCTTTATCAACAAACGTCGAAACGGCTGCTTTCAGTATATAAACATAAGCAAATGAAACAATGATAAAACCAAGCGTTTCGCCATATTCAACATCGCAAACCGATGCGCTATCAAATAAGACATTTCCAATCAACTGGTTATAAAACATTTCTGAAAATGAAGGGCAAGATGATCAAAGATGCAACTCTACCAAACTCGGCATGGTATCCTCCTTGCGTATGAATTAAACATGGGCCGAAATGACTTTCAGAAAGTTCACAATGATGCGTTTCTACAGCAGACCTACTGTCCGCCCATAAGCTTGACTATAGGCCATTGCAGATATCGCTGTGTCAAATCGAAATTAGACAAGCAACTAGGTGACAAGAAAAAATGACTCCTGTCCAAAACCATTTCATCCAGTTTTGTGGATCAAATAATTCTCAGTTCAAAAGGTGTAAAGGACTTCAGAACGTGAATAAATATATAAGAACGAGTATTTGGCTCATGCTTTGGTAGTAATACTGAAAGAAGCCCAAAAACAAATGAATAATTAGGCCAATCAGATGACTGATCAGTTCCGAAGTTTAGGTCCGTATCTAATGTAGCCTCTATAAGATAAAGAGGTGAGTGAGCTTTAGAAGTTGTTCTAGTCTCTTGTAGCATTTTGCATGTTCCATAGACCTTTCGGTCATAAACTTATGAACTAACGAACCAATAAGTTCGAGACACGGATCGACATGTCAGTGACTGATGAATCATCCGGTTAACCAAATTACGTTTGTGTATAAATAAACAAAGTTTTGTGCTGTTTTCAACTGTAATGACTTAATAATATCGCGCTCTTAGTCTTACCATGAAGCTTAACTTTACTCATTACCATCCCCTATGATTAGGAGACTCGATTTGATTTTTGAAAATAAAAACGTTTCGACGAGGTCATTTGACAAGTTAAGATAGCGTTTTTAAGTCGCATCCTCAATAAATCGGCAGCAGCGTCGTTAAAGCATCTTCATTCGCATGAAGAATTGTAAAATTCCAGCCACTGGCAACTTTTTGACAGTAATACACCCCTCGCGCTAAAACAACCTCATTTCCGAGCCCGTTTTATGCGGCTATATTCCGCCAACCGTTCCTAAGGTCTCCGCAATGCCTCGAAAATCAAATCTAATCGAGTGATGAATTAAAACAAACTTGGGATTCCAAGTTTCGCGGTTCTAAGGCGGCCCTTCGGTTCAGTCACCTTGCTTAAAACCATAGCTTTAGAAGATCAGACAATAACGAGATTTCGGCTAAATTCAGGAAACATTCCCACAATCAGCCTTGCGGCACAATACCGAAACCAAGTAGTGGCATAGATGACATGCAACCTTTTGGAAATTCCTTCTGTTTAAAGTATGAACTGCGGTGCAATAAATCTCGACAGGTCATTATACAAAAATTAAAAGCGGAAAGGACTACAGGAGGCAAAAATAAGACACGGCGACGACTACCCTACCTTTGTAAAAGGTATTAGGTTCAAAACACAAATTTTTCTAACCCCATGAATATGACCGCCAAAAGACGCCTGAGCTCTCCAGGAAGAGATCTTGTTTCGGTGATTCAGAAAGACGGCCACCGTCATCGATTCTCAAAATCACACGACAAAAAGTAGAAACTGAAAAGTTAAGATTAAGCATATTTAAGAAATCATGTATCAGACCCGTGTTTTATGCATGAAACCTTAAAGATTGTGATTTTTAACACAATCCTGTTGGCTAAGGATCACTTTTTCTTTTCTTGGTCGTATTCACAATTGAGGTCATGTGGAGCATTTACAAGCTAAGGAGACGAAGGAAAGCAAAGTTTACAGATATGGAATGCTGATCGTCCATACATCGCCACGTTCAGGCCATTATGGCGATGTTCAATTAATGAAATTACTTCTAGGGGCGCTGATCTTCATTTTCACGCCATTAGCCTGGAATGCCCTAGTTTTTGAAGGCAGAGTGGACGATAACAACGTTACAAGCATATTGTAACCTCTTGTTTCCTTCTCAGAGAATAGAACTCCTTTATTAACCACAGAGTGATCAGAGCGGTGCTAGAATCCAGGACCATTCGGTTCTAAGTCTGACGCTCTACGGCTGAGCAAATACCGATCTTTATAATAGCACAGTGAAAACTTAAGACCCAGATCCAAATCTCGCTAAGGTGGCGTGGAAGATGCATGCTTATAAGGTTCTTTCTCGGAAATGGACAGGCTCTGTATACGACTGTTCTACCTACACTCAATATTGTTTATATTCTTCAGATGTACGGTCTATAAATTTTACTTGAGCGGTGATTATCACAGATCTGAAGTAGTTTGCAGTTTCAAGCCACTAAATTGAAAATTAAATAAAACATTTCAATCTCGAAGAGACATAGCCCTAAAATCCACTTTTAAAAGAGAAGAAGTTACAAATAACTCAGGAAAATAACACTGTTCTAAGAACAAAACATCGAGAGACTTACAGCTTCCTCAAATTGAGCATTTTGTTGAGCACCTGAGGAGGAATAATTTCAATTTCATTGTTATCCAAATAAAGTTCCGTAATATCCATCGGCAAGCCTTGAGGAAATTCTTTAAGCTTCTTGCCTGAGCATCGAATTACCGTGTCATCACATACGCAGCCCGCAGGGCAGTATTTGCCGCCAGGCAAACAAGCGTTTTCGGT